TGGCCTGTATAGCGCTTTACTAGTTCCTAAGGACCCCAAAGCGCTTTACATATCCAGTCATCCACCCATTCACACACACATTCACACACTGGTGATGGCAGCTACATTGTAGCCACAGCCACCCTGGGGCGCACTGACAGAGGCGAGGCTGCCGGACACTGGCGCCACCGGGCCCTCTGACCTGGTTGTTGTATCTCTAACCTGAGTGTGTTTTGGTTGTTGTATCTCTAACCTGAGTGTGTGATGGTTATTTTTTCAGGTTGTTGTCAGTTTGATTCTGGGTGTTGTGTTTCCAGCAGCAGAGCAGAGCGCTGGTTTCCATCACAGCGTTCCTGAGAGCTGCTGCTGCTTTTTGACCCAGTTTCTCTGCTTTACTTGACTGGGCTGCTCCCAGTGCTGTGGTGGAAGGTCCCTGATGGACCTCCTTCATGCTCGCATTTCTGCACGCTGAGGTGGAGACGTCCTCTGAGGCAGATGTTTCATTGAGGGCAGAGCAGCAGCTGTGCATGGGAAACCTTCATGTGGATGATTTCTTCTCTTCTCTGAGGCGCACACTTCAGATAGTTTCACTAAAAGGAAGCTGCAACAGCACAAACACGATCCAGAGCTCCAGTTCAGCTAGGTGAAGGTTAGCAGACAGCTAGTTAGTACCGGCGCCTGCGTCACCATCCAGGTTAAGGAGGCCACGCCCCCTATTAACACAAACTTTAAGCCTTAATTCAGTTTAGATGGGTGACTTATAAAAACATCCTCCCCCGTACAGGTAAAGGTGGAAATGGTCTACAGAGACCAAAAAATCAGTAAAAATGTATCAGGATGTAAACATGTTTGTTTCTGCTGTTAGCTTTACCATGGGGACTGACTCACTGCTGCCCCTGTTGGACACCAGAGGAACTGCAGGTTTGGCCCTAAAGGTGAATAATAAAAACTTAATCTCCAAACAGAATAATCCAGACCTGGACTCATATGCACAGACTTTTTTATTGAAATAAATAAATGAATATAATACATAAATATATTTACTCCTTTTAAATATTTAAACATGTAAACGATGCTTCTTTCTCATTGGTGCTCTTTTTACTAATATCCTCTGGTCATTGAAATAAAGAAGGTTTAACTCTGCTGCTCGTCTGAAGAGTGCAGTGCAGTGAGGAAATGTGCACACAGGTCTGAGTTCAACTGGGATTTCAGGAGGGTGAAATGGTCCCTGTTTATCAGGCGGTGAAGTTTAAGAGCATGGAGAGAGCAGGACACTGAGCATGATGTGGAGCTGTGAGAGTATTTTTAGTTTTGACAATAAAAGGGTCACCATAGCGTCTTCTCTCAGTCCCAGCCTTCACATTATTTTAATACAGCTGAAAAAACTAAAATGAGAGAAAAACCCTGCAAAAAGGATCCTAAGAAGGTTTTGAGCCATCAGTCAGACTCTTTCCTGGAGGGATGAACACCAAGCTTTTCTCACTTGGTGTTTTCATGGTTTTGAGATCGGTTAAAATCTCAGACTGGGTGAGATTGGCTGATTGTGAAGGCCTCTTATTCGCTTCATCCTCATCTTCATCAGCCTCAGTGAGGACTCATGGACGGAGAGGCCGCTCTGATCTGGTGACCCTCAGTGACTCGTTGCTCTAAGAGGACAAATAGACCCAAAACACGGCAGCAACTTGAACCCACAGACCCCCCACACCCCCAACCTTACAGGGCAGTGGTTCTCAAACTGTGAAGCAGGTCTCACTGATGGGACAGAACTACAGCAGGTGGATGATGAGGGTAAAAATATGGAGAGAACTTGATAAAATCTGATATTTGTGGGGAAAATGAGTCATCTGATTCAATTGTGTTGGCCTTCAATGCACTAAAATTAAACTTGGATTCTTCTATACTGCAGCAGTGGGGGACGTAGATGGACTGCATTTACTAGAGTCAGAGGTTTTTCCTTTCAATTGTCAAATGTTGATGTTCTGCTGCTTGTTCGTATTTAATGTCCAGCAAAAAGAAGAACCTTAAATCTTTAGTTTCAGTATATAAACTGAAAAATCGGACCCATTTTCTTTGTCGTTAGTCAGAAGGTGAGGTGATGTTTGAAGATCAGTGATGTTTGTGTTTTATTTGATTCTAAATAATAGAACGTAAACTCACATGTAAGCCGTTTCTGTGCACACGGCTTTCAGATAATTATTCTCAGCTTTCGTGTTTCTTGTTGCTGATTTAACACCAAGATGATTTCCTCTCGTTGTTTCTGTCTGGTGAAGATTCGGGATGATTATGTTTTTGTTTTGTTTTTCTATTTGGGGAAATAAACTGCTTATTTCTACTGACCAACCCTCAGACTGTAAAAAAGATCATTTGTGCTCAGGTTTCAAGCTTTGCACAGAGATATGTTTCTAAAGTGAAGTCTGGAGAGGCCTCAGAACCATCTCGGGCCACAAACAGCAGAACTCTCTGCCTGGGAGGGATGTGAGGTGGGCAAATGAACTGAATCATTTCTTCAACAGATTTGATTCAGCCATGAGGCAGTCTGCAACATCGGCTGCAGACTCACCCACCCCCACTGCTGCTGTTCCACCTCAGACACTTCACACCTCCTCTATTCACCCTGCTCACTCCCCCCCACCCCCAACTGCAGCATCCAATACACACTCAACACAAGGCTCCAGCCTGTCTCTCTCAACCACCCAGGTTAGGAGGGAACTGAGGAGGATTAATGGCAAGAAGGCAGCGGGTCCAGATGGCATCAGCTCGAGGGTCGTCAGGTCCTGCGCGGACCAACTGTGTGGGGTGATGGAGCACCTCTTCAACCTGAGCCTGAGGTTGGGAAGAGTCCCACAGCTCTGGAAAACCTCCTGTGTTGTACCAGTGCCAAAGACTTCACGCCCCAAGGACCTCAACAGCTACAGGCCGGTGGCTCTGACATCCCACCTGATGAAGACCCTGGAGCGGTTGGTCCTGGCTCAGCTTCGGCGCCTAACAAGCTCATCACTGGACCCACTTCAGTTTGCCTACCAGCCTGGCATTGGAGCGGATGATGCCGTCATTCACCTCCTACATCGTTCCCTCGCTCACCTGGAGACCGCTGGAAGCACTGTGAGAATCATGTTCTTTGATTTCTCCAGTGCCTTCAACACCATTCTTCCCTCGGTTCTAAAGGACAAGCTGGGAACTCTGGAGTGGACCATCACCTCACTACCTGGATCCTGGACTACCTCACCGACCGACCACAGTATGTGAGGACTCAGGGCTGTGTGTCGGACAGGGTCGTCTGCAGTACGGGGGCCCCACAGGGAACGGTTCTGGCTCCGTTCCTCTTCACCATCTACACTGCAGACTTCTCCCACAATTCCACCCAGTGCTTCCTGCAGAAGTTCTCTGATGACTCTGCAATAGTCGGCCTCACCTGCTTGCTGCTACTGCTGCTACTGCTACTACTGCACATTCACCCAGTGTATATACTATATGTCTGTATATATATATATAATGTTCTTCCTCTACACCCCCCCCCCCCCCCCCCCAATTTTTGCACATGTCGAGGAGCGTGTCAGGCTACATTTCACTGTGTGTTATACTTGTATAACTATGCATGTGACAAATAAAGAACCTTGAACCTTGAACCTCATCACTGATGGGGACGACAAGGAGTACAGAGGTCTGACCCAAGACTTTGTGGACTGGTGCCAGCTGAACTACCTCCAGATCAACGCCAGTAAAACCAAGGAAGCTGGTGGTAGACTTCCGCAGGCACAAGCATTCTCCACTGCAACCACTGAACATCCAAGGTATGGACATTGAGGCTGTGGACAGCTACAGGTACCTTGGTGTTCATCTGAACAATAGACTGGACTGGACTCATAACTCAGACGCCCTCTACAGGAAAGGGCAGAGCAGGCTGTACCTGCTGCGGAGACTCAGGTCGTTTGGAGTGGAGGGCCCACTCCTGAAGACCTTCTATGACTCTGTTGTGGCTTCTGCTATCTTTTATGGTGTGGTCTGCTGGGGCGGCAGCATCTCTGCTGGGGACAGGAAGAGACTGAACAGGGTGATCCGAAGGGCCAGCTCTGTTCTAGGATGCCCTCTGGACCCAGTGGAGGTGGTGAGTGACAGGAGAACGGCGGCTAAGCTGTCATCCCTGTTGGACAACATCTCCCACCCCATGCAGCAGACTGTGACAGCACTGAGCAGCTCCTTCAGTGGGAGACTGCGGCACCCACGGTGTGGGACGGAGAGATTTCGCAGGTCTTTCCTCCCCACTGCTGTCAGACTCCATAATAAAGACTTTAACTGATCAAGCACACACATCCATACATATGCAATAATACTAAGTGCAATAATCCTTTCTGTCATCGTTGTATTTTTACTCAGTTGTATATAGTATTTGTATTTGTATTCTATTTTTATCTTATTGTATATTTATTTTATTTTATTCTACTGTATATAGTATTTTATTCTATTCTGTACAGTTGTGTACTGTATTTATTCTTATTGTATTCTAATTTTTGCCTCATAACTTTTGCACTGTCCACTTCCTGCTGTGACAAAACAAATTTCCCACGTGTGGGACTAATAAAGGTTATCTTATCTTATCTTATCTTAAATAATTTTAAGCACTCGGGAACATCTCAGCTCTTTCTGTGGCTGCAAACAGGAAGGATGAGGAGCACGGTCATAAGATTAGTCACAAAACATGAAAAAGTGACTCCAACTCATCTGGTTATCAGACTTTTTTAAAGGAAAAAATGTCCTGGCATCAGCCCTCCACCTCCTTCTCACAGAGAAGAAGAACCGCTGCAGCTGCTGATGGATGGCTCAGGTATTTCGGGGGTGAAAAGGTAAAAACACCAATCAGTGTTGCAGGCTTATCTGACCGGGGTTATTAGAGAGGTCATGGGAGGTGTGAGACCTGAAGAGTGGGTTTTTGGGCTTTTTATTATTATGAGAAATTTCTGCCACTGACCGCCCTCTTTCCACCTGTGGCCTTGCAGGTGGCATCAGCCCCCTGAGATGAGGAGAAGTGAAGGACTGGGATGAGTGATGTCAGTGGAGAACCTGGAGGGGGATACGAGACCGGAGAGGGCTGGGAGGGGGGGACAAAAGGCCAGGCCGGCCGTGCCTCTGCTGCGGTGAGCAGGGAGACGGGGATGTTCAGTGGGCATCCAGTGAAAACGTTAGGTATCTGTGGTGCCACCGGTGGTGCTGGACCTCCCCAGCCTCCTCCTCCTTCATCTTCATCATCGTCATCATCATCCTCCTCATTCCACCAAACACCTCCGTCGTTCAGCCAGCTTGTCCAGCAGCTCCACTTCCAACTGCAAACACACCACAACACAAACAACAACAACACCATCAGCACCATCAGCAGCAGCGTCCAGCAGCATGGATGCACAGCAAACATCCTGCAGGAGGGGAGCAGCCGAGCACAGGAGCTGAATCAAAGGGAGGAGGAGGAGGAGCGGATGGATGCCAGGCTGGGATCAGCCACCAGCAGCACCGACAACAACCCTCCTCCGACTGGGACCAGCTCCGAGTTTAATCATTATTATGGGAATGGAAGAGGAGGGCCTAGCTTCGATCAACATGGCGGACAACAAAGCCCAGGGACTGGGGTAAGAGCGGCGCGCTCCGTACTCAGCACCATGGATCAGGTCCACAACTCCCACGAAGGCTACAGCAACAACAGCCCCTACAACCACTACCCGAACTACCGGCCCGGGTACGGGAACAGTGGATACGGTGGCATGATGAGCCCGTCACGCCAGGGGAACAACCTGCTGGGCCCCGGCAGTGGCGGCGCAGGCTCGACCGCTGCTAATCACAGCAAGGCGGTGATGACTGCTAGCAGCTCCCCGGCTGGAGGCGGCGGCGGGTTTCAGCGGTTTCCCGGACAGGGTCAGCAGCAGCAGCAGCCACAACAGCAGCACCCGTCAGGGGCTACACCAACTTTGAACCAGTTATTAACTTCTCCGAGTCCGATGATGCGGGGTTATGGAGGTGGATATCCAGATTATAATAATCCCGCACAGCAACAGCCGAGCATGGGGCTGGCTAAAGACATGGGCTCCCAGTACGGCTCCGGGGCTCACGGCTGGGGAGGACAGCAGAGAAATCACCCGACCATGAGCCCAGGGAATCCCGGGCAGGGTGGCGGCAGGGCTCAGGTGAATAACAGCTTATTAACACCGTTTATAACCTGACTAATGACAGGTGGACATCGCACCACCGGTAACCTGCTAGCTGCTAACAGCCGCGATGCTAACCCAAATAGCTAACGGCAGCTAGCTGCTAAGCTAGATGTGTGTGTGTTTTTCTTTTTTTTTAATTTTCACTGCAGACAGATTCATTAATTAAGCACCGCACCCACGTGAGTCGTTTAGGACTCTAAAGCAAACAAATTGTATTGTGTGATTACTTGCTTTTATAAATGACAAGCATTGGCGACTGTTCGTGATGACAGAAGCTGGGGAAGTTTTCGATTGTGTCCAAGGTGACTTCGCTTTTAGCCCGCTAGGCTAAGCTATCATTAGCATATAGCTGTCGTTAACGGCAAAGGCCTTCGTGTGTGAAAGTAGGCAGCTTGCTGATTTTATAAGAGGTCGAATTTGTTATAAATATATATAAAAATGTAAACTGGGTGGCTGTAATCAGTTTTATTGTTACACTTGAAAAGATCGCGGTTTAAATGGTGACAGGGTTGACGGTTGACAGCTCCGCTCAAATCTGACAGTTCGCGTATGCTAATGATGTGTTTTGAGGGGTCACCGGTAAATAAAGCTCTTTCCTCGGATTTTATCTGTTTCTCTACCCCGCCGGG